ACTTATCGTTGGTCCTTTATTTATTGCGCTTCGGAGACTTCAGGGGCTGCTGACATCACGGAGACGGCAGGGGTTTCCCGACCATCAGACTCAATCAAGAGTCCTATCGATCTACCAATCACCGAACCGAGTGACACGCTTGTCACCTGCTTGGCCGTGCGTACAGGTGTGCGTACATATTGCGTGCTCTCGGAATGCACAGACGATATATGACATGCCATTGTGCGTCATGGCAGATGGTTGTCGATATTACAAACCGAGTTCGTACAATGAATGCGTTATGGACTTTGAGATGAAAGAGTGATAAATAGGAAGAGAAAGAGAGAGAGAGAGAGAGAGAGAGAGAGAGAGAGAGAGAGAGAGAGAGAAAGAGCAACGAGGTTGCGACAGTCGTTTGGTGAGTAACTAAGAGTCTAAGAGGATTGGAGATTAACTTTTACATCCTTTTCATCGCACGGATAGTTCAGAGTGAGACTTCTGATGTGAGGACGGAAAGAAGAAATCGGCAAAGTAATTGGATTAAAAATAACTCTGATACTTCAGCGGACGTTCCATATCGCATCGTCATCATCCCTCTAGAAGCAATTAATTAGAGAAGGAAGGTACGGGAGGGCTTGAACTTTGGGTTCGTAAAGGAAATTCCGCGTTCCTCCGAACTTCAAAGGTTTCGTGAACAAAGTTGATAAGCGAAGGTCGTGTTATGTTAAAGATAAAAGCGACGGTCGTGAGACAGGAGGCGGAGCAATTTCTCTCACGGTGCACATCAGTTTGTATCATAATTTAGCTTCCCGGTAATATAATCCACAACACATGTCGATACTAAGCTTTGAAAGATACCAAAGGTTCGCGTCTCACGTGTCTGTCTTCTCTCTTGAATCCTTGAGAATTCGTGCAAACTCGTGGGGCTCGTATTTAATTTCTCCCGGAAACAGGAAACCGTCGTGTCTCTTTCTTTATACACTCTCTTCCATTTTGCGCTTTAATGGTAAATATAGTATCGGATGGTTAATAATTTTATACGTATTCGCCGATTTGAAATTCTGTGTTATGGTGAATTACGTAAAATTATTACGAAAGCTGAGATTAACACAGAGGAGAGAAAATGTATCCATTAATGTACTCTCATAATCTATTGGCTAGTTTAATTCGGAGCAAAACGTGTGTTTCCTATATGTAGGACGAGTGTCGCGATTTTGCTATAGCTGGATATTAATCGATGTTCCACTCGGTGACTGTTGCTCCTGTCACGAAGCGCTCTATTTTGTTTCCGAGGGATGACTTATTCGTTTAATGCCCGTTTCTACCAATGTAGATTAACTTTAATCTCTTCCACTCACTCTTCATCTTTTCCTAACTCTTGAAACGAAATGAACAGTTTGTTGAATTGAGATTAAATTACATTAGAAACGGGCGTAAGACTCTCATAGTTACAGCTGTAGCTTATATTAACTGATTTAATCGGAGCAAAACGTGTTTCCTGCGGAGGACAGGAGTCGCGGCTTAGGATAACACGTGTCATGATTTGCTGGGCATTATCGATGTATCCTCCGCCCGGAGACAGTTCGCTGCTGCTCCTATTACGAAACGCTCTGTTTTGTTTCGGAGGGATGATTTATTCACGTTTAAGACACCCTCATAGACTAAATTAATTGCTATAATCGGAGCAAAACGTGTTTCCTACAAAGGACGGGTGTCACGGTTTAGGACAACGTGTGCCACGATTTGCTACAGCTGGGTATTAATCGATGTTCCGCCGGGGGAGACTGACTGTTGCTCCTATCAGGAGGCGGTCTGTTTTGTTTCCGAGCTCGTAACCCTCCACGTGCGTGAATCGATCCCCGTGGATTGGGGAAAGCCTCCCGAATACGAGCCACATGAGGTCAGACCGCACTCGCCTGGATCGCCTTCCCCCTCCCTCTCTCTTCATGCTCGATGGTCAGCCCTTCTTGTCTCTATCCCTTGTAAATCATAATAATAGCGGTACTCTCGATAAATATCAAATCATTACGGTGAGATATCTTTCGTTAATTAATGATGTACGCGCATTTCCATCTCCATTATTATCGAGAATTGTATCGACTCCTCCTGAATTTTATTTCCAGTTTACTTTGATTATGATTTTTCACTGCAGAAAATTCTTCACGTTTTATGAAGAAAAATTCTTTGATAATAGAGAACGAATCTCATTTGCTGGCATTTAAAGTAGTTAAGAGGAAATAAAACTATACAAACTACGAAAGAACGGTATCTCGTTTGCTCGGAAAAGCAGCAATAACGAGTCCTTATCTTGTTGCTAGTTATATTATTATCTCGTTGGGATTATTATATTGCTCAATTGCGATCATTGTTTTCAATTTACGGACCCGTGTTACGTATCATTATCGCTTCAATAATCACAGTCTTGAATATCAATTAACGTATCCGAAGTATCGAAAACATGTAACGGGGAGCAAGACGTGTAACAAGCCACTAACCGTAGCGTTAACATGTCTCCTAAGTTAATTAATTCTGTAACTCACTCCGTTACGGAATCCGGAAAATGTTGACACTGTTCGCCGTTGGCATTTCCACCTAGATAATATTCTCCATGCGTTTGCAACGATATATTAATATTTACTCGTCTACGCGATACACGTGCAACGAATCATTTATAGATTTATTACCCGCATGATATACTCGTAATATTAATTGCCAACATCTAATTTCCCCCACAATTTCCAGAATGAACAACGGCCTATGTCGCCATTACTATACCGCCATTACTCAAACAATCAATCTCGCGGATCCCCAAGATTACACGTCGAAAGCCATATGGCGTTCTGATTACGGTATGTGAGGCATTTCAATTGATTCGAAATGTTAATATCTCGCTTCGACTTTGTCGACGTCGAGGGAAGAGAGAGAAGTCACTTCGTTGAAAATAAAGACCGTCTTGTCAAAGGTAATCCGTAAGTATATACGTCTTCGTGTGGAGATTGTTACGGTGAGACTCTTCTCTCGTCTTTCACTCGTAGAATATAACTCTCGGAAAAATAGTTCTCAGAGTGAAGATGACTTTTTCGTACGTGATAATAGCGCGAAGAGAAAGAACTAACCGCACTCAATCTCTCCCTGTGCCAAAACCGATGCTTTACCGTTACGAAGTACTGTCCCTCCTTGTCAGGTTACATCAAGATAACGTTCTCATTTCGTGAATTTACATTTGTATCGTTTTCCTTCCCTTTTACGCGCGACGCACATCCATATACGTCGACTACGTAATCAGCTCGAGCAATACTTGTTCCCTTCAGGATTGAAGAAGATGTGGTAACGGGTTTCTCGTTGGTACCGAGGGAACGTTCCTTGTTACGACGCTCCTTTTGAATTACTTTTCCCTTTCCACATCTCTTTCTTCTTTCATTATTCTCTCTCCATCTATCCCTTGAGACTAAATGAGCTTTTTAATCAATTCAAAGCATATTTCCACTTTGTGTTGCACAAAGAAAACACAGTGAACATTGCTTCTAATACTGAAGTCGAAAATTTTCTCATTAAACATTGTGTGTATAAAACTGAGTACATTCGTGGAAGCTAAATGAAGGACTCATCTTCCTCGGCGCGAAGGTATTTAACGAACTCGCAGATTCATATGCAAGAGTCAAATAGACTTTTTGTAATCGGTTTTTAGGACGCTTGAAAATCCCATTCTTGATGCTAATCTACTTCTCTTTATTTCGCCCGGTCTTTTATGTGCTGCGTTATACCGGGTCGTCTATTATTGGATGAGCAAAGCTTCTACGGAATCTCCGATGCATACATCCTTAATTTTATCGCGAGTTTTCTATCGCGTTACCCGCGTTCCGTGACCACCAGAGATTGATCAAATTACTCTTCATGTCCTCTCTCATTCATGTGACACGCACCCAAAGTAGCACGAATCTAATCTAGGAAGGTTGTCCCAGCAATTTCGTTATCGCGCTTTTCTCGATAACGTTGAAAAATTATCGTTTTGCAATTTCTCGTTCGCAATCGAGGTGTAATTTAAAAATTTTCCTATAGACCACCCATTGCATTTGCACGCTACTTTCTTTCGTGTTTGCGCAAAGAGATAAATTGCGCGAAGTTAAGTTTTTTGTGACAAGTTCGTTTCTCATTTTCACATTGTCGGTCATCAACAAAGCTTCCCTTCGCTCTATGATGATTGCGGTGGCTAGAGCGAATGAGAGAGAGAGAGAGAGAGAGAGACGTTCACTTTTACGACGTTACCGTGAATCCTCCCGTTCGCTGAGTTTTGGGGTGAACCACGCTTGCGCAAGTCCGGCAAGGTAGCTAGCTAGAACGATGTGCAACAACCGTGAGAGCTTTAGTTTTCGCCAGGTCCTCGTCGTGGAAAAAGGCTCGCAGTTGCTCACGGGTGAGAGGCACCCTCATTGTATCTTGATCGTCCTCGTGGTGTTACAGTTACTCGAGGAAAGAAGGAAGCGATGAGCACGTGCTTCGATCCGTAGATCACGTCGCGCATTCGAAAGCGTCGGAACCGGCACACTCGGTGCTTTAACATCGCGAGCTGCTCTCGAATGAGAGTGAAAGCGCAAGTGTTGCATGCGGCTGATTTGCATTTTGCTCTTCATCACGCGGCGTGTAGAAACGATAGGTTTCGGAAACGTAACGTGATTCGTTAACTCACCCCTGTGTGACGATCTCGCACAAACGTAAAATTAATTAGCGGTAAATTAATAAAAGTTGCATCAGTATAGTCACAAATAGTTGGCGTTTTCTGTGTTTCCTTTCGAGGCTCTCAAAGCTTCTAGGGGTGGAGTCCGAAAACTGTGCGTTACGAATTTATGTAGATCGCACTTTCTGGAACTCACCGGCGATTGAATTCTCCTGATCCGTTTATCGCAACGCGAAATTTTCGCGAAGGGCCACGTGCGGTGTGCACGAATGGAGGGAAAAACGGATTTGTGACAAAGAGAAGTCGTAGGTGGTGCATAACAACTTGTGAAGTTCCTAGTGAATATATGGCAACATTCAGTGTGGCGGATCATCATGAGATCGTGGAAAGAACTTCCCGGGATGTTTCCGATCGCGTTCTTTCCATGAACGTCTGTCCGCCGAGTAGCTTCCCGGATAAATTTCAAGATTTTTTCGCGGCGCTTACCGAGGACGGCGACGATCTACCCAGCATGCTTGAAGACAAGCTGATACCAAGGTAAATATAGCGAGTATTTATTTAGTAAAGACTTATCTAAATTGTAAGAAAATATATATATATATGTATATATATAATTCTCTCTCTTGAAAGAAGGCAACAAGTAGCTTTCTTTCAAAGTGGAAAGGGGAAATGAGAAAACGTTTTGTAAGAATAACAAAAAAAAATCTGTAAAAGAGAAGAGAAAGAGAATATTGATCTAAATAAATTGATTGTCAGTCAGGGCAAAAAACATCATGTATTCGCTGAAAAGCTTAATTAACTATTAAAATAAAGCTATGTCCAGATTTGTAAAGCAATTGTCAATTAGCGACGAAAACGATATTAAAACATTTTTACTGAAGCATCAAAGACTTAATTAACTGCTAAACGTCGAAATCAGTATAATTAAACAACTATAAATAGCATTATGGGCGTTGATCAGATTAGCCTAATGTGATTAAATAATGATGGATGCCGTGTAATGCAAGGAATAATTTAAACAAGGAATGATTTAAACATAAAGCTTAACGAATTTACAAACCTCAATATTGTTATTTGCGATTTTAAAAGTTTTATTGACTTTTCAAAATATATTGAGGTTTTAACTTTTAACGAGCGAAATATATATGAAATTTGAGTCATTTGAACGATCTGAAACGCTTGAATGCTTCTTTACGAACTCAATAATACTTTAATATCGGTAACAAAATCGATCACTTCACAACTTTATCTCGAAATTATATTTCTCAATTTAAAGAGAGAAATTCGAACTGTTTCGCCAATGTCGTACTGGGGTTCGTGACATGTGAAGAACACGCTTGAGAAGTCTTTAGTATTAGTTGAAGTTATTTGAGATTCTCGGATTTGTCGCGGGACAATTTTACGCTAATCTCTTGGTAATGTATCAATCATCGATCGAAACTGGGTTTAATGCGAGAAGCGGAAATAGAGCGGTTATACGTAAAGAAATCGATAGCGTAATGCGTGCTTAAAAATAGGATTATACTGCTCCGAAAGTTGCTACGCGAAACCAGGGAATATTGCGTATTCCCGAGTATTCTTAGCTGCGTTCGGAAACCGAATGCCCCTGTGTATCATCTTAGCTTTGTTTAACATTGAATGAACAGCAAGGATACACCGGGGCGCTCGGGTGATGTTTTCGAACGAAGCTGTTGTCTCTGCTAAGCCGGAAACTTGCAGAAAGCCGGAAACTTGCAGAAAGCCAGACAACATGAGCCTCGAAGGAAAAAGTCGGCGCTGGAGCAAAAGGGCTTTCCAGAGGCGAAGCAGCGAAGTCGAGGTCCGTGTTCAACACACCTCGCTGTCCGGATCTCAGGGTCACAGCTGCGTGGATGGACCAAAGTCACCGACTACCTCGAGACGTAGAAGTTCCAGCATTGCAGTTGCCAGACCTACGCCGGATTTGCACAGGTCGTCTTCTCGTAAAAGTGATTCATTGTCGACTAGTATAGTCCGTTTGACGTCCGCGCGGCAATCAATCTGTCCAACGAGCGTTCAAATATAATCTTCACCGCCTTAAATCCGACTACTGACGCTGGAACTTTTCAGCGAATCGCGGAATTGTAAATTGATTGGAAAGTTTTGGATTTATGCGAAGACAGGATTGCCCACGACGCGCGGCACGTGTCTGTAACAGCGTTCTATTTTCGTATGGCAGATTTCTGCAAGCGGAGGCTGGTCCTTGGGGTCACCTGTCGCCCTCGCCTAGAAGCCCGACCAGAACACCCTCGCTGAGTCCTGGCGCCGCGTCATCGTCATTGCATCTAAGTGCAAACGCGAGTCCAAGCGGCCCCAGTCCGACGAGTCCTTCCGGTTCGACTGGCTTGGCATCCGGGATTCGTGGAGGTGCCGGTCCCAAACAGTATCGCAGCAGAACAAGCAGTATGCCGGCGGTCCCACGTCACAGGGTAAGAATATATGAGATAAAAACCGTGCGACCTTTGAAATTTCTGGTAAAAGAACACCTACACGAAACAAAAGAGTTGTGTGTGTGTGTGTGTGTGTGTGTGAAATAATTAAAAACTTCATTTATTTAGCAAATTTATAAATTTCTAATCTTATTCATCTAATCTGTAGCCATAATACATGAATAACTAAATTTCTGTTAAAATAGAAAAATTGTACAATTGAATAAAGTAGAGACTATAGATAATTATATTTGTTGTAACAATACAGTAAATTTATTAATAATACAGTAAAGAAATTTTTCTATGACAGTCAATCCGGTATATAAATCAAAATTTTTAACAAAGCATGCAAGCTAAAATAACTAAAATATCTAAAACGGTGCGTGCTTTTGCTGCTATAGTGAAGAAAACTTGTTACCCTAGCAATTTTTATTGTAGCAAAAAGTTTGCTTGAAAGACATAATTTCTTGAACATTAAATCTTCTAAATTATGGAATAGATGTTAAAACTCGCGCAGTAAGTTATAGCTTTACTAAACTATAATCCATTCTCCTTCCTCGTATAAAGATATCCTGCCTATTTTCTCGTCATAAAAGAGAGAAAAGACAGAAAAGGAGGGAATAATTTATAACAATTTGTGAATTCAGTGGGGAAGCAAATATAGCGGAATGCGTAACGATGAGACTCGTGTATGTACATATTGCACAATACGTAGATCGATGGCACACGTGGCTGAGTTAATTTCCTCGGCCATTGTGAAAGATATCACCGTGGCCGAAAGACTTTCTCTGTAACGACGATAGTGATTCACGCATATCGAAGAGCGAAATGAATACGGAGTGCGTAAATTCCGCCAAACAGTGTACGACAGAAGCACACAATGGGGCCGGGAATATCACCACTGTGATCGTCATCCTTTTCGAATTTCATCGATATTCCATGTAACACGATCGCGCAACTGAAAATGAAAAATTGGAGCAACGAGGTGCTCCTGGAGAAACGATGGCTTTTCTGCGTCATTCATTAACTCTTTTTTTTTTTCATTTTCCTGGAAACTGCAGTTGACGTGTCGTTACGATCGTTGCGACTTAAAATTGTGCGAACCATCAACTTGCAACTGTCAGAAATGTTAAGCAAAATTAATCATTAAAGTATACATATAATATTTATATGAAAAAAATAAAGATTATTTTTATCTTCTTATTTCGAGGGAAATATTTTATTGACAATCTTTGATTCTTAATAATTCTTTATTAATTCTCAAGCAGATTTACAGTTTCTATATAAAAGAAAAATTCAGTTATATTTTTTGGCTGATATGTGGTCGATCGATCGTAGGCCAGATTTCACAACCATTAACCTACAATAAACAATATAAAGGACAGCACAAATCCGACATGCAAAATCCGTTGTAGATTAAGAATTGAGTTTAAGCCTCGACGTTGAGTGCCAGTCCTACTCTGTGGCCACCTCTGGTGACATTCGCGCAGTCTATGTTGAATGAGAGGATCAGCGTGACACCGTCGCTGATCTTTTGCAGGAGACTTGTGGCGAACTGAAGATCCGTGTTAAACTTAAATCGCAGAGTCGACCTCTCGTCGATCTTGCACTTCGCTCCGGCGCCGACTGTCCATTTTTGCACGTCGCCTCGTTTCGCGTATATGCCGTTCGCCGCGATGTCCAGATCGCGCCTCGCTGAAGAGCAGATGAAGTATCACGATCGATAGAACGAAACGGTGAATCGAGAGACACTCGAACATTTTGGTTTAAAAATACACACATCAGACTATTATTCGTTATTGTTATTATTATTATATTATACACAGTTGGAAGAAATGTATCGAATTTAACATAAACCGCATATCACGAACGATTTACTCAAATTTTTGGGTTAATTTAACACAAAATGAACATGTTAGAAGGTTACACAAATATTATGTAAGAGAATAAATACAAAAAAGATAATATCGATACAGTTAGTGAACAAATCGTGGGAAGCATTTTTTTCAGACAATAAACATTTGATATGTTAAATTAACACGTGTTTTATTCATTTGGCTTAGGATTTACGTAAAAGACACTATTTTTATGTTACTTGTCCATTTACTCATAAATTGTGTCATTTTGACACTAAGAAACATTGAATATCAATTTCACACAAAATCTTTAAATAACATAATTACATCATGTTACATTAACAATCGAATATATTAAAAAATTCAATACAAACTGTTAACACAGACGTGAGTGGACCGTTTCCAACACAATTTTTTTTAATGCGTAGGTATTATCCTGAAAACGCAGCTCTTAATTCCAGACAGCAAAATATGCTAGCGCATGTACGTATAATAAATTTAACCATAATTACAGAGAGCAGATTTTTATCTACTGAGTCCTTTTCAAAGATTTTTGCTACTGTAATTTACCACTTAATTAACATATAATCACAGAAATGCAGCAAGAAGGGATCATACTTTTCTATCGTAATGTGCAGATAATACAGAGCCTGCTCATTCTTTAGCACACTGACATTAAAAAAACAGTAGACTTTTTGTTCGGATGTTCCTTTCTGAAACAGCTATTAATGCAATATCGCTTACTTGCTACAATAATGGTGTAATTAAAAAAACAAAATTCATTCAGAAAATGAATTTTAACATTATAAAACATTAAAATTTAATACAACGTTAATTTTGAAATCCAATATTTTGATGTAGAATAATTAATTGTAGAAGAATAAGAGCATGTTTTTTTACATTCATTCTTTATTTTCTTTGCGTTTCCGTTCTTTTTCCGTAATCAACTTAAAAATAACACTCTCATGTCATTGTATACGTAACTTAATTGCAATACATGCACCTTTTGACAGGTTTAGTTATCTGGGATAATGAAGAGTAACGTTTTGAGCAAATAATTTTAATCGAATTCTAAGCGAGGTCATCGACGTGTAGCGTTACGTAATTTTCACGTAATCCCGGTGGTGTTGGTTTACGGTCTGAGCTTTGTTATGGTCGTGTCAGTACGTCACCATTACACGACGCTGTCACGGACTCTCTACACCCTAACGATACTAATTATCGCCCTCTCCACCTTCGTCCTTCTGATTCCCTCGAGAAAATTGATAACGCTATGACGTGAGCCGATATATGCTAAACGATTTGTATTACACGTCCGTATTCCGCCTATCTGAACACAGGAGCGACAGGATCTCATTACGCTCGTCTAAGCCAGGCACGTTTAATTCCCCATTTACTTAACACATGGGAAAGACAGCGGTAATTTAACAGTTCCGTTCTAGTTGACGACGACGACGTCGCGATTTCGCGACGCAAGAGGCAATGAATAATGGGAGGATATTACGGAGAAGACTGAAATTACTCTGTTGTCACGCGAGGATGATTATTCTGCCGTCGGCGACGTCGGGGTTTCAAGGGAATATCGGGGGTTGTTTATGGAAAAGAATCGCGTTACCTTTATCGCGGATCCTTCAACTTTTACCTTTGTACAATACGGAGAGCCCATACACGTGCGGTATGCAGGTGCATCGGAAGTGCAGGTCAATGTCGGGGCAACCATAAACGACACCGACGTCGTTTTTCGTTATCCTGTTCGAGACTGTGTCGTAGCCACCTTGGTAGCCCAGAAGCAGATCCCGGCATTTCACCACCACCGAGCCGAGTAAATTGGTGCCCGAATCCAGATCGTTGGCTGCAAACAAGAAATCCAGTAATTTCGACAACTCAATCGCTGCGATACCATCGCGTGTAGATACGGGATATTTCGATTTTCGCGAAAAATTGAAGAAAATCTAATTCCTTCGTTTATCAAAATTTAATTGGATGCAAAAAACACTGTCCCTGTTGGAAATTTCTGGAATTTAATTTACCCGCCTCTCCGCCCGCGTCTATAATTGCAATGCACTTTATTTCGCTAAAAAATTCAACGGCGCGGTAGCTCGTCCTACAAATGTTTTCGGATCGAACGTGACTGCGCTTCGTGCGACAGCGTAGTTGTCCGCAAGCTCCCGGATGTGCTTGTATCGGGTCGCCATCGCGGAAACTTGCGTTCACGGAAATTGCCGCGACTTGTTAGTAAACATTCGGGATACGGTTTTGCTATTGTTCCTGTGAACTTTGCGTGATATTGGAAAGGAGTTTGCCCAGAGAGAAGGAATTATTTATTAAAGTTTCCCTCTATTACGCAACGTGCAATCTCTGTTACGAAGCGCGAGACAAGAGAGAAAGTTTGAAGCGAATTACTCGGGAGGACTATAGCGTGCTGAATACACGTTCCTTTCGCTTCTGCGCGAGTTTGATTTCATATTAAATTTCTATATTCATTTCTCTCAAATAAAAGAGCATCGGGAATATCATTTGCCGTTACCGTCTCTGAAATAATTAATTAGACACGACGGGGGGAAGAGGGGCGGAGGAAGAGAGAGATTTACTATAGAATAGAAAACTCGTCGCTCTCCAGTAATTTTTTATACTCGATGTTTTTACTATTTCATGAACGCGAGTATTTAATTACAGAAATGCCTCTTGTATTTCGTAATATTAGAAAGTAGTCTGATTTTGTGTAAAAAGAACACGTGCCATTTTGTACTTTAATATTATTAATACGTGTACTTTTATAATAATTGCACATATGAAATAGATACTTTTTAATGGTACAGTTTTATTCAATATTTTCAATAGTTTTTTTCTGGACGAAGCCGATAAAAGGTTTGGAGTACGGTATATAATTAGTCTTTTTCCCTCAGACAAGAATACTTGAGCACAAAATATGAAGCCCTTTATCCATCATTCAAGCAGCAGCCTAGCCAAAGCCGTTATCTTGCAAAACTTTATAAATAGAGGATGAATTTGTTCTGTGAAATTTGCCGCTCGTGCTTCACAGGGAAGCCCGGTAAGTCCGTGGACATTATTGACGAAGCGATTAACATTCTCAAGAGAACGTTACCACGCACGCCTTCAAACGCGACAGAAATGCGATGCGCGCAGTCAATTAGATTTAAATAAATTAAGATTTAAAGAAATTAACATGACTAACAGATTTCGCAGCATGCGTTGATTCTCTTGCTGACGAACTTTGAGCCGACTTTCACGCTTTTCGCAGCCGTTTCCGGATTGTAAGAGCACTCGGAGAGCAAATCAACGCCCTTCATTAGCAGCCCATTAAACTCGTATCCCAGGAAAAGCACACCATCGGTCGTCCATTTTAACAGCAAAGCTCCAGCATTCGCCTTGTACTTTGTCTCCATTAATCCGCTTAGCTATCATCGATTTATTATGAAGTAAATTATTCAATGGTCTGTCTTTGAGGTATCCAAATAAACCCAAGATTATTTAATTTAATTATTCAGTTAATATAATTCCGAGATGAATATATATAAATCCATCATACATGATTTAACAAATAAAGATAAATAATGGTTATCCAGTTTATTAATGCTGATAAACAAATAAATATTTTATGCGCATTAAAACATTGTTATATAAGTATAATTTCTATAAAATATAAAAATACACTACAGTTTTCCGAGTTTAAAGCAACAGTTGTTGCGAGTTTGAATTCAGTGACACGCATATATTGTCTGCATAATCCGATATGTAATTAAATGTAAATATTGCCGCTTGAAATAGTTCATTCAGCTACGTTTCCGTGTAAAAATTTTCGCGTGATAAGCGATCATCCGCATCATTTGTTTGCTTTTCCCACGGTAATCATTGACAAAATAATAAGTAAACGCTGACCGATATCATTAACGTAGATAAAGTAACCAAAATTTAATTATTAAGGATCTGAAAATATCTGAATTAAGCAGAGGGATATACATATGTGATTTTCAACCTTTGACACTTCGAAATTCAACGTTGTATCACTCGTCAGCTGGAATCTTTTGGCGAATTTGGTCTTGATATTGAATTTGATAAGGCCTTTACCATGGTGATACCCCGTCTTAAAAACATCCCTTGCATTTTTCCCAAGATCAGCAAAACTCGGAACATCCATTACGAATTCAATACGTTGTGAGATAAATTGTATTCGTACTACAGTGATAAAAAAAAAAAACATTAATGGAATATTTTATTAAGAATATCATTACAAACATTTTCTCAGTAAATCAATTATAATTATCTAAGTCGAAAGACCAAATCACGTGTGTGTGTGTGTTTCGAATTTATACATTTAATTGTCTTATTTTCAATTTGCATTTCATAAATTTATTTATAATCTCAGTCGTACATTTTATTATTAGGTTAATATACGATAGAAAATACACACCATTTAGAAATATTTAATTTAATATTCTATCTAGACTGAGAATAATTTCAATTTGGCTCTCACGTTTTATCTTCGTTGGATCGTGCCTTCTTGTTTTGTTAGGCAACTGGGGACTCAGCAAATTGAAGCTGCGGTGTAATTCGAATATACGCGAAGGTTCTTCGACATAATGAAAACATGGTCGTTGTTAACTTCTCGTGAGAAGTAAGAGAGTGAGAAAATTAATATTGTGATTTCTGCAGAGCGACGCGATCGATATTATGCAATATGTTATAGATACTTTTCAAGCTTCATCATCAGCTTCGCGTCAAAGAAGTGAACTTGATTGGGGAAGAGCATGTGAGACAGATTCAAACTATCGATGTTCTCGAATCGACATTCAATTAAATTGCCACGTTCAGACGGACGAATGGAACAACGGAACACAACAATTATATCATCGGATGTGTTTCGCATTCGATTAGAGAATGTGTTAGGATTCACCGCGACCCTAATACCACACTCGAGAACGCATCGCGTATTTCTGCCACCTTTCCGCTCCGTTTTGCAATTGTGAAAGGCAGACGAGCGTATGCACATGTCGATGGCGATGCCCGGTGTGTTGAAATTTACAGAACTTTATAGATCGATTTACGTCATGTAGCTCATAATTCAATCAATGAACGTCGGCAAATCGTGCCGAGATATCACGCGCAACACAGGCTCTGTCGATTAATGATGACGTTTGCGGATGATGGGATTATTCACTTTGAGGCTGCGTTCCGATATTCACCGTCAATGCTGAAAATCTAAAGTATACATGTAACGTACGAATACGTTGTAAATTTTCAGTATTGACGGTAAGTGTGGTGTCGGAATGCAGTGTATTAGAAATTGTCTCCCGTTTATACGTTGGAACGTATAACACTTACGAGGAAACACAAAAAAATGTTCCTCTTCGATTTTGATGAGCGTTAATATGGCGTAATCTAGGTCAGAGTAATGAATACATATTTTTTATACGTATGGCCATGTACAGCTTTAGGACTTAAAACCTCCAATCGGTTAGTTTCCTTTGTGTGTGTGTGAAGCAAAACTATAAAAGATGGAACAAATTTTTTTAATAAAAATTGAATGGTTTTATAAGTGTTTTATAAAATAATAATAAACTTTTTAAATTTTTATTTTTCTAAAGATTTTTTGTTAAAAATTTTTTTTGTTTTATATATAAAACATTATCGAGATCATTTTTTTTCATCTTTTATAGTTTCGATGCTATTCACTTCAAAAGAAAATAACGGAATTTCTTGAAAAAGGTGTTTTATCGTGAAAAAGTATGTGCCATGCGTATGAATACATATAAAAAATATGTATTTTTTACTCTAGTCGTTTATAAGACTCTAACAGATTAAAAGCTTTAAAATCAAAACGGAACTCTTCTGTATTTCCTTGTCAGGATACTAAAAAAAAGATTTACAATAAAAAAAATCAGAATAAAATTTTTCAATTTTAACAATTTTTTCAGAACATTTTTCCTGTCAGAATATTTTGTTGAACAAAAATCTAAACCTAGAAGAGTTAGAAGAAAAATTTTAAGCCCCAATAATTTTCAGATTGTTAGATTAAAATTTGCTTCCTCCACGATTGTCGATATGAGATATAAGTCTCACTAGAACTCTTTCGCTTTCACCAAATATCGAACATATATTATACTTATCTCACTTTAAATTCCAACAGTGTATATGTACACGAGTTCAGCCACAGAAAACAAACCAATAGACTCGTCAAACTAATTGTAATTATATTTATTGCAGCCGATGCTGGTCGATACAAGACGTGGGGGTGGCGTAACGGGATACGAAGAAGGCGAGACCGAGGACGGCATTGAGTATTATAGACTTCGGTCTTTCTCCATAACAGCAAATGGGGTGTACAATCTGGGCGATTCGTTGAAGACACGCCGTAGCAGGAGCATCAACAGCGTTACCTCGTCTACCAGCTGTAGCAGCACCCGGGAGAGCAGATTACTCAGGTAAGAATAAACATGCGTTGAAAGTGCGATAAATCTCGCTTACAACATTGATCCGCTCGCCGGAACCGCGTAGCCGGATTCCGACGTGAAACTCGAAATTTCCTTTGTAATATATGTTCTGAAAATACAATTTGCAGAAAAATAATTACGTATATAATAGGTACGTATTATTCGATCGAAATGTCGACAACAAATGGCTCGTTTTATTTCGCAGTTATATATGTATTATGAAATTGCAATACGCTCAGGGCAGGAGAGACATGTATTTGAACTATTTTTATCTAAAATACAGTATTTGCAGTGCAATTGTATGTATATTTTGCAGAGTTGGGATAAGGTTACCTTAAAAGCTACTTATAATAAGTTACTTTTTATTATAGAAATTGAGTACAATTTAGAGTTCGGATATTTTATTTTTTATATTATATTTTATCATTCGCTTCAATTTGGTAATACTTTTTGTACTCAATTTCTATAACAAACATATAAGGCAACCAAAAAAAAGTAATTTGTATATAATTTGAAAAGTAACTCTCCCAACTCTGATATTTTGTATTTTATATTTCAGCGGAGCACGTGAAAGTATTGGGTGTTTAAAATCAAAAGATTAAAAATTTGTTGAACATTATAGTTCAAATATTAAGATTAATTGTCAATTTTAATCTTTGAAATAAGAAATACAAAATATATTTGCAATCTATTATTAATACTGGATATCTTATTAATTATTATACAATTGTCTTACAAATACTATTTTTCAAATAAGATGCCAGCCCTTAATACGCGATACGTCGAAATCATGTCACCACATTACGCGTAACGACTGCATACTGCATCCTCGGCTTACAACTCGCTGCTATTCTCACGAAGAGAACAGCCGCCAGATTAAACGAAGATAATAATATTCTCTTTCGTGTTATCGCTCGCGAATAATAATAATAATAACGAGGGTTTGTAAAAGTATGTGGCTAAAGCTCAATGACTAAACGTTACAATTAGACATTTTCATCTCTATAATAGTTATCCGCATATAAATATAACGTGTAAAAGTATAACATGCGACCACGAAGAGAGAGAACGAGAGAGAGAGAGAATGGAAAGAGGGACCTGGACATAATAATCTTCCACGTGGTACACGTGCGGACGTGCCCCCGCATTTTCATCTCCATTCTGGGTTCGGGATGTTTATTTTTTCCTTCGAGGGCTTCATCGCATACCGACATTGTCAGTTTAGAAAACAAAGAAAAATACGTCGAATGTTTTCCCTCGTATGACTTTACGTAAAACACAGGTTGCCCGTAGGCCAGACCATGATACGGCTCTCGACTTGTTTGTGTTCGACGAAAAATAGTATATGCAAATCAGAGAAATAACCAAGTGTTTTCATGACGAATTAAAGGGTGTTTATGTAAACCAAAGTGACAAAAATGTATTGTACGCGATAATTATTTAATAACTAAATATAATACTTATTGTTTAATTATTATAATTACGTTACGTTTCTAACAATGATGTACACTGTAACCGTTTCGTACGTTAACAGGTATATATCATATAATTGTTTCTATACCAATAGAAATATAGAACAGTTCTTTAAAGAGAAAAATTTTTTTATTTTAACATGTATCTATATCTACATAATGATATAACTTTAATTACATCACTTTTTCTTCAAGATAATTTAAAAGTCTGCTCCAATTTTTTATATCGAATAATACGTTTGTTTTAATATTATTTAACATAATATTACAAAATATTTTACGTGATCATTAAATATTTGTAAATTTTCAGAATAAAATAACTATGTCTGATAAGTTATTCATATTCTACTAATTAATAAAATCATTACATGTTAACGTAACAAACAAATAAATAAGTATAATAATAAAACATAATTAATATATCAATTAATAATTCGTATATGATATACTATTATATGTATATATGTTTAGCGCTTGTTATTTTTACTTTAATGAGAGAATTGGAATCTATATATCGGATAAACACAGAATGCGAATTGTGTAAATCGGAAATTACCTGCGGTAACTAATTTTGCTTTGACAGTAAGTTGATATTTGCCCGATCTGAATTTATCGCCGGTAGCTTCTATTTGGGATAATCATCTCGGAGGTTTGAGTTGATCCTCCCAATTGTTTACGCTTGCCTGCGCCTGGTACTCGTGAGCAGGATCATATCGATACGTTGTTCCACCTGATTTCCGTCTCGCCCGCGGTTATCAGTAAGGTACTTGATGATTACTCGCCACAACCGCCGCCGTAAGAGCGCCGCGCAGAACTTAGGGTAAACGCGACTGCACGAGCGCTCCGAGGAACCTTAATTGCCCTCAGATAATTACACGGCACGTAAACTGCCGGGTATGTCCTGAATGGGTACAGAGTACAGACTGTCAAGAGAGTCTCCGATCCACCTGTCCTCTTAAAAGAGATTAAAGGCCACCTGAATTTAGGCTGATTTAGAATTTAGAGAGTACGCGTTTCTCTCTCGTTCTCTTTCTCTTCGTTTTTCGAACATTTTCAACAAGATCGTTTCGGATTGACGAAAGACGTGACGGTGACGAGTAATCTTGAAAAGTGCTTCCCCGCCAACGAAGAGGAATCTCAGAAAGAGTTGAGAAATGTGATTTAAAGATGCAACACGCGTGCAACATATAACATAAAACATAATTTAAATTAAGTTTTTCTTTATATGTTTCTCTCTGAAAAGCAGACCTAAAGGAGGTAGAGATTTTGCAGTGTTATTATATCAGAATACGTTGCATTACTGCGCATTCGCGTCTTGTATAGCTTTTGTCTTGCCACGAAGAGTTATAGATTCACATTTCACAAGTTATTCCTTTTTACGTTCGCTCTCTTTTTGCTTGTTGTTTCCGAAGAAAACATATATTTGTTTAATTTGAAACAGAGAGAGAGAGAGAGAGAGAGAAAACGAAGACAAATATGTCGAATGCTTTTTCTTCATATAATTTTACTTTATATGACGTAAAACGAGATTGTCGTAGGTTGGCCCGTAATACCTTTTTTCGTATTGTTTGTTTCGGTTATTTTCTCAAGAAATAATATGTAATTTGAGCGAGAGAGAAGACACACATATAGACACACAGAGAAATTTTTTAATATAATAAAAAATTAAAAGATCTACATTATATTACAGTAAATATAAACATAATAAATATTAAATAGAATGTAACATTCTCTAAGTATACAACGTATACTTTTATATAGAAAACGAATGATTTGCTGAAATGTCTAAAAGTTAAGTTAGATAGAGAAAATAATTTTGTTGGACCATCAAAATAATTATGTAGAAACTCGAGCATCATGAGATAAAATGTTGTAAAAAATTTTTAAACAAGCAGCTTTAGCTTTCTACGTAATTATTTGTAGTTTATCAAAATTATTTTCAGATCTAGCTAATTTTTTAAGTGCTTCAACAAAACCGTTCTTTCTGTTTACGTACAATACGGAATTATACTTTTATATAATTTCATATAATTATGCAAAGTATAAAATTATATGTAATTATATTATATAGAATATGTAAATAAAAAAGAAGTTTTCACGTTATACTCTAATGACGACAAACGATTATTCTTGAATTTCTAAATATAGAACAAAATTAATATTTGTGGAGAAGCTTAAATTTTGATAAAAATGATGTGTAATCGTTTCGACGTATTTTCCGTAAATCTATAAATTACTATTACATTAACATTTTCGCAGAATCTAGTAAAAAAATAAGATTATTTGATGCTGTAATATAATAACCACGACAAACTTAATAAGGATCACGTTGAGCTTTCAAAATACTTTTTCTAAATAAGTCGTGAAATATTCAGTGAAAATTGTCGACAATGTTACTTTAACGAAAGGTAGCTATTTTTAATCGCACTATCATAATGGTGACGAGTACCGGTCGTAATTGTAAATGATCAGACTGAAGTACGGAACGTAATATCTCGTTCGTCGAATTACACTTCTCCTTTTTTCTCTCCTCAGCTCGACTTCGCAGCTCTCCGGTATAGAGGCGGAAGAGGAAGCCAGCGGCGAACGAGTGACGACATATAAAGTGGGCATGTTGGGGGCGTCAGAAGTCGGGAAAACCGCTCTAACTGCACAATTTACCACGAGCGACTACATTTGCGCTTACGACGCCTCTCTCGGTAAGCACATGGCTGCTTTTAGTTGCTTCTTCGTTGTTCTTCTTTCGCTTTAATTCCGGTCTAATTTGATACCCGACAAATTAATTCGATCCTGAATAATACGACGTTATCGGTTTACGGAAAAAAATAGATTGGATAATTCATCGAAGTTACCCAGACAATGCAAAGTGTCCTAAATTAAAACATATAAAACGTCTTTGACGTCTGAAAGAAGTCTTAAGAACTTTTTATATCTTAATTTTAGACTTTGTGTTGTCTGAGTGTAGCAGGGAATGGAAGTAACTCGTTATTTTGTAACAAAGTTACAGTTACTTTTTATATAACTTTACTGGTAACTGCGTTACTTCTTTTTTATAACTGTAACTGTAACGTAATTACACCTTTTTAGTATCGGTAACAATTTTTATAGTTACTTTTATCGTTACTCAGCACACGATTGGACACGGTTCGATAGGAATTATGTTACACTTCTACGTGATATTGCATAAATATCTCAGTTTGCCGCATATCTTAAAGGTTTCAGAATTATAAAATTGTTTTTAAGAAAAAACTAAAAAATTAATGTCATTATAATTGTATATTGCTTTCATTAACATTTAAACAAAAATATTGCAAAATATATTTTTAGACCGATTTTAAAAAAGTAACGAAAAATTACTTTTTCGTACTAGGGCGCGTAAAATGATAGTTTTACTCTCGCATTTGCGGGAGTAAAATGCGATTTACACCCCGGAGAATTGTAAATAAATAACACCCAATTACTCCCCACTCAGCAAAACAATCCATGAACCTCATTCCCCACCTTCACAGCTCCCTAGTACGAAAAATTTTGTTTGCGACTCGGGAGTAAGGTTTTCACACCCGCGTGTGTTCGACCGTACACTCGGGCTGGCTTCGCCAGCCCTCGTGCCGTCGAACACCCTCCGGGTGTAAAAACCACTTTTACTCCCTAGTCACAAAAATAACTATTTTAAGTTACGATAATCGTAATGAGTTACTTTTAAAAATTGATAATTAGTAACAGTTACTTTTAAAAAGTAACTTCCCATTGCCTGGAATATAGCTTGCTGGGCTAGTTTAACATCTATAACTATAATGATTCAATGAAGAATTATGTCTGTAAGAACTTCACAATATGCTAATGCAGCTTATTCTTAGCTACAATGAAAGTTACTCTAATGTAACAAGTTTCCTTCATTACAGCAGCAAAAGCAGCCATCTTAGTTTTGTTAATAATTTTGATTTATCTTTAGATTGATTTTCATAGAAAGTTATCTCGGTCATATTATCAAATTTGCTGAATTATTACAAATAAATATGATTGCCTATAACTGCTAATTGTATTTAGCTGTACAACTTTGTTATTTTAACATGGGAAATTATAATAGGATGTATTACGGTTGTACATTACGGTTGTAGATTTGTTGAAACAGTGAGGTCTTCAATTGTTTTAACAAATCCTTTTTCCGTATTGGATTATTTTTGTGAAATGTCATTCTCTGACAATGAGAATAACTGACGTGATTAAAACCTATGGATAGATGAAGAGAGACAGCGATTATACATTCCTTCCGCTATGAAACAGATCGGCCGCTCTCAATCGCACGTCCAGCCGGAGAGTCGCTTCTACCGGAAGGAAATTGTTCGTCGTTTCCGCTTCTGTTTTCGAAAGAGGCGTCCTTAGGGTGTTCACTCTTGGATAGACTTCGCCTCTAGAACTCTGCGCGCGATAAACGTCTCGCGACAGCTATTTCGCATTTAATTATGTAGCACTTGTCACGAACTGCGCCGGATTGTTCGCGATATCGCACACTTCCATTAAACAGAATTAATTAATCCGCTGGGTAAAACGTTAGCGGTATATAACATATATTTGCGCGAAATGTATTTCCCTTAAAGCGCTTTGATTGTATCAATTAACCGTTCGATTATGCTTCCGATAAATTATTTCGCACGAGGAACTGATTGTAGAAGAAGTTGCGATAAAGTTTTCTGTGTTTTTCTGGAAAACTCCGACATTTCAGAAATGCTAAGTACGTTTTATATTTTACAAATGGATTATCGTTTGAATATTTTAACGTGCCATTTAAAGTATTCAGAGTGAGAAATAAATCTCTTATGATCTGAGTGAAGAAAATTGAGTTTATATATCTTTTACTACCTAGTATATATTATAATTATCGTTATTCTTAAAGAGGCAATAAAATTTTGATCGACTATAACGTAAACATTGTTTTTATATGTACACAGTACAGTTTATGTATAAATAACATTTTAAAACTTTTTTACATGCTAAAAATGTACTTATAATTAATTATCAAATTTTTTAAATGAATATTTTAATGAATAACGTGATATTCTAGGTTTACGAGAAAATTCTGTATAAAGAAACATATTTTCTATGTAACTTATAGTGTAATATATTCTCATGTGTCACGAATGCGCAAGGCGTTAATTATTTTTCGCGAACAGTGTCGGAGAAACTAGTTTCGTATGCAAGTCGCGTGTCTTATGTCTCATTAACCCTTTACGCTCGCGGTTTTCATCCGCATCTCGAACTCCATTACATTTCCTTACGCTATCGTGGAACGAATGATAATACTCCTCCTTTGTGAAACAGCTACGTACTTTTCGCGTTACGATTTGTCAAGGTTAACGCACATCGGTGTTGCACAATTCAACGTGTGCGAGAACAAAATTCAATCGAGAAACATCCTGTTGCAAGCAACGAAGCAACTCTCTCTCATTACGTGTGTACACACAAACAACAATATAGTGATAACCTGTAATTTAACAATCCAGTCGGGCCAATTAATTCGCACGAGCCATTTGTTCGGAAGCGATTTTCGCTTATAATGAATTGTTCGTGACGCACTGACGCTTTTGTCCCACAAACCAAACGGCGCTCACTCGCCGCTTTTAATAAGCTGTAAACTATCTGCAATTAAAACCCGCTCGTTTTGCGTTGTGATATTTGCACAAATTGTACGCGTATCTCGCCGTGTATAGCGATCGCTCTTTATCCCAACTATTCGAGCGGAGAATAAATAACGAAATTCCCTTCGTATTTCGCCTAGCGCAAACACACTAGAATATTTTGCATCAATCAAATCTTTCCGATAAGCAACATTGGTATGTCGGATACCGCGCTGGTGGGATCCCTCTGTCCATCTAGTATAACAGCAGATACTTGAGCGGAAATGACGTTAAGACAACACGCGGGTACGCTATTGACCCATAAAGAAAGACGCTCTGCTCGTCTTCCCTGCTTTTCCTTTGTCCTTCCGCCCCCGGATATAATGTATACGTACTATATGAACGTATGTGCGATATTTTCCGCTGTGTTTCCGCCGGTGCCGTCGAGGTCACTCCCTCGTGGCCGATTTTATTGAAATCGCACACGGTTGCGCAACTTGCCGCGAGTACCGGTACTCGTCGCGAGTACCTTCAAAGAGAGTAGACCCCTGATGTATCGATTTCGCGCCAAGTACCTCGCTGAGAGAGAAAGGGGGAGGGGGAGAGAAGGAAAGAGAAAGAGAGTATTATCGATATTTCTGTGTACGAAAGAGGCAATATATTCCTCTCTTCTCTCGGTGGTCCGCTTTGATGATATGAGAGTTCAATGTAGATCATAACGGTAGAGAACGACCAATGACACTTTTATAAAATTTTCTCACCATTGTTCGGACGTAATTAGATTTCTCTCTTTAAATAAATACATCCGCGCGTATATTTTTAATGAGGGATTCTCGCGTTTCTGACTGCGAAGGAGAAAGAATAAAATATGCTTTGAGAACGTGTGCGCGTTATATCCGTTGACCCGAACGCTGCTTTTCGCGAAGCATTAATCATTGGGTTTTGTTTTTAATTACGCGTGTTTACGTATAAAATATGAAACTACCGATGACACGCCAGTCTGAATGATAGTCGGACGTTATTGCAAATGTCAATTCGCTACGTTTTTCAGACGACGAGTACGGACAGAAGAACGTATCCGTGATGCTCGACGGCCAGGAGACGGAATTAGAAATCATTGATCACCCCGCTGCGGAGATGTCAGTGAGTAAAATACGATGTTTTATCGTACAGCGAAAATAGCACGATGTCGGAGTACCGAAGTGATGCATCGAGAGGTCAATTACCCAAGAAATTGCATTAGATGAATAACTGTCGGATACCGGAAGAAACTCGCCGCTCGTAAATAGAGTTACAACACGATGTCACTTTTATCGAGTTTACTCAATTATTGCTGATTAGATGTTGGCGTAAACCCTCGAGATATACACCCAATATGGAATCGTCCCAATATAAAACGATGATGTGCGTAGATAAGAGGAAAAAAACCGAGAGAAACGTAGGTGTTACTTTTTTTTTTTATTGAAGATTGACAGACTCGAAAGGGTCAAGGAATATAAAGTCAATAGGTATGTGAAAAGGGAGCCGAGTGAATTATTTCTTTGGATTTATCAAGATAAACCGAAAGAGCACGGTTCTTGCATCGATGTTGAATAAAATGTTAGCTATACGTAGATATACGAAAAAAACAAGGACACATCTTACGGTAAACTGTAGGATCGTAAAAAGTTTTTAAAAAATAAAACATAGATACGCAAGCTATTGAAAAATAAATATTTCTCTTGTTTCCATTTATTGCGATATTGCGTTGCATTATACAAACGATAAAATTGATTGTTCGATGGGGAAATGAAAACCGAATCGCTCGTCCGTTAATTGATGTTTTTCTACGAGTTTTCTCATTCATTTTTCCCTCACATTTATCTTTTCGAGGTCGAGACATTTTGTTCAACTTACAATCCGGATGTGTACGTGGTGGTGTACTCGGTGGTGGACAGAAGAAGCTTAAAAGTGGCTGAGGAGACGCTGCTCTATTTGTGGAAAAGTGATTACATGGTGAATCATGGTGTCATCCTGGTCGGTAATAAAGTGGATCTCGAGAGGAAGCGGGAAGTCCCGTCAATGGGTGAGTACATGGATTTCGCGTGAATTTTCTCAGTGTACTTACTTGCAAACCATAACGGAATTAATAAAGACCAGGAGTTTTTAGACTCGGTCCAATAAGAATCCTGTATGATAAACATCATTACACATCCAAAACATAATTTTAATATATATATATATATATATATACACTCTTTCATAAAAACAACAAATCTATCTCTGAGGTTATAGAATTAAAAAACATAATTTAATAGAAAAGGATATAACAGGATTTGGAAAGTCTACTTTAGGTAATTTTTAATATTCGCATCAGAGAACATTATTTTAAAATTTATACGACACATATTTTAACGTAAGCATTTTAATACATATTTTACTATGTATTAAAATATTTATATGTATTAAAATTTTAATAAACATTTTATATGCATTAAATATGTATTTTATATGTATTATGATTCTTGGAACGCTTTTAGTATTATACTGTGCATATAAAATTGTAAAATTTTATCGAGAATACTGACACGAATTGACATAAATACCGTCATAAATCGTCTAAAATAGAGACTTGTAGTATATAAATACGAAAAATATTCACGGAGCCAAAATGTGTACAACATTTTACAGTGAATCCATATATATGGTATTAAAAAAAGCATGTAAAATATATAATTTCATCCTAAATTTTGGAATTGTTTGAAATTTTAATTAACTTGTATGACATTTGAGTGCGCTATTGCTGCCGACAGTTGGCCGTCGTTTAGCGAACAGTTGCGGTTGCAAATTTATCGAGACGTCGTCGGGTCTGGCTCATCATGTAGACGAGCTCTTGGTCGGGATTCTGGCACAGATCAAGCTGAATCCGCAGCGTAGCCGGGATCAGGCTACCAGGCGCCGTCGTAGCAAACACCGCAGGCGGATTCTGAAGCACCTGCTCGGCTTCAAGAGGAAAACCAAGAGCTGCGAGAACCTCTTCGTTCTCTAACGTTCTCCTCGTACAGCCCTCCGTATACGGCGGAGACAGAGAAGTGATTTCACAGATATCGATCGTTCGAGCTCTTCGGTCCGCGAATACGTGTACTATCTGTGCGAATATGTGAGGATCTTGCGACGTAGGCGAGAAAACGTATCTGATACAGAGGTGGCTACGCAGCGAATCGGTAAGCACGAAGCGCGAAGAATATCGAGCGGATTCTTAGAATGCTTGACACAAAATTGGAATTCAAAGAAATTCGTGTCTATAATACGTACCGATGTGTAGCGCGCGAAAGAAACTAGACCTCAGGGCTTTTGTATTCGTGCGCAGGAAAATAAAAGATCGGTCGTTCCTTTCAACTTGAAGCTTTTTCGTCGAGATGCAACGCAGTTCTGCCGCTCTGGTTTGCATATAATTCAAGTGAGATGGAATGAGTATAATTCTTTTCTAGTGCTTGTCCCAGTTTAAAAAAAAAGGTATCTCTGGTAAATGTTGAGTCAATAAGGCTCAATTTAAAAGGAATTATTCAAATTTTAATAAAAATAATATCGTAGTAAATGTTATAAAATGTAAAAAATTATTTTCGTAGTAAGATTTTTGGATTAAACTGTTGAGTGGTTTGAGATACACAATGTACAGTGTTGTCTTCACTCAAATACAATTCTGATAACATACATTTCTGACGATGTTTACATATACATAAATAAATAAAAAGTGTAAATGACTCTCTCGTATCTTAATGATAGAGGAATCTAACGGTGATGAATGGTATTTGCGGATACAGAGATTAATTTGAAAATTTTTGGGCTTACATAATTTTTATCAACATGATTTATATTTGCCTTACAAATTAAATTTGAACTCCAAAAGCATTCTGGTACAAACTTTTACAATAAAAGTATTTATTTTTTATATTCGTCATATTTTTCATTATATTTGTATGAAATGTGTATGCTTATTTTAATTTTTTACATTTAGCGATATACCAGAAAACTTTAAAAATAAATTAAATGAGATACATTTCTCCTTCCAAAAAGTCAAATGTGAAAGGATAAGGATTTAATAAAGGTTAACTGTGTGGTGAAGAAATTTAATTTTTAACGAACTTTTCCCGTTCTTTTGAAGGACGGAATATAAAGTATATTTTGACGTTAAAAATGTATTTATTTAATTTTCTGGAAAACTGAAATAACAACAAATCCTCCGATTTTTTATATCTATACTAAATAAATATATAATGTTTATGCTGCAAAAATAATAAAATACAAATTGTATTTTAACCTATGTAGACGGAATAAATCTAGGATTGATTTGTAACAAAATCCAAATATTTTGTTAGATATGTGATATTTTTTAAAATGTAGATTTTGGTTTTCCACACAAATATTGTAACCTTTTGTAAGGAAGAATTAGTTTTAAAAAATTAAGGTATAAAAAAGAAAGGTCACAATTTCATTGGAATGCCAAAACGTTGAACTGTGCCAAGTCTCGATAGATAGTAGGTATCTATATATCAAAAAAGTATTTGGGGGTTTTGTGTTTCAGATGAAATTTCCGGGAGTACACAAGCATATAGTCCTCTGCGAGACGCAGTTTCTCGCGACAGTAAATATTTTATATGAGAAATAAGAAATAAAAAAATTTTCGACTTCGCAGTCTTTTAGATATGAGATTGTGTAAATAAATACGTACACAGAATGTCAACTACGTATGTAAATATAATACATTTTTAATGTCGAAATGTTGTATTTTTAATTCCATCTCTCTGTGTGTGTATGTGTGTGTGTGTGTATCCTCAAAATGCATTTTCTCACCAAACAGTCCAGTAAGCCCTTTAAAGCGAAACATGCACATTACGTATGTATGCGTAAGCACATAAGTCACATTTTATGAGAGAGCTTCGACGTTGCGTCACATTTCTATTCGCGCCGCGCGTACAAAGAATGACGCTGTTATTACATATTTCGTTTCGAACGAGTCTTATTGTATGTGACTCGAATCATCGCGAATACGATGTGATTTATCAGGAGGCTGCTGAATAGGATAACAGCTCAGCGCGATATAATATCCGGAAATAAAGTCATCGATAACGAGACGGGATATGTGATAAAAAATTACATTTGTGAGATGAAATCCAATATTCTACATCTGATACGTAAGCTCACGCAAATAGACGAGTGTAATTTACGATAATGCGGCTTTGAGGCGTAAAATTAGTTTTGGCGCGTTTCAGAAAGAAGATTCTGTGCAAAGATCTCCCAATGTTTCGCGTTGTATTTGTGCTATGTATGTGTGCTACGGTCTACTTGAAATATTAATGTATAAGCTCATCATTTCTCTGAATTATAAATAAGCCAACAATGTAGTCAATAATGTAGATTATGAATGTTTGTAAAGCAGCATGCTAGTAGTAATAATAATTACTTCATAATATCGGCTGGTAACGGGAAAGTCAATCGCTTTGCTACCTCCGCGCCAGAAATTATGATAAACACCAATTCGCGCGTACTGATAGTTTAATTGTTTCCAGCGGTAAAAATTCACGATAATAAATCAGAGATACAACTCCAGATAGTAGATGAAAATTATTTCAAATCAAAAGAATCGAGACATACTGCGGGGATTCGTAACAGCAGCTTTTCTGAACAGATAGAAATTGTTCCGCTGAAATTTACGATGCATGAATCCTTTGATAGCGAATAATTATCTGAACTTAAAGGAGAGAGTTTATGCTAAAATGTAAGTAGTATAAAGATACGTTCGCCAACGTCGGAATCCTCGAGCAATATCGATGGTAATAAACAGAAATATGGAAGGTATTCCTGTTGTATTGGTGGGAACAAAATAAACACAACAATCGACCAAAGCAAAGTAATCTCGTAGGCAAAGAAGCCTCGGCTATTTGCTGGCGATATTTAAACTATGATAGAACTCATGCGCGTGAGGTACGGATATATAATTTTGTCCGCATCATACTGGTTTATTCGTCATTGATATTGCATATAAGAATGGCACTTTTATTTGGTATAACATATCATGCAACCCTGTGAAAAACGCGACCATCGATATTATTCCACGATGTCAAAATGGACCACCGTTGTGGGGCTGCATTGATCTCGTTTTTCCGCAAAGAGAGAAAGATATCTGATATTTTGATTAGATTCTGTCAACCGTATGCGTACAGATTTTTTGTTAAAATCGAACAAAATATGAATGTTTTATATGGATTTGTAATAAATTTCCTTCCTTTATTTCAGCCATGAAAGGGTTTCCCTTTTGATCTTTATGTCTTGTCGTTGCTTACTCCAAAATGATAAATAGTGCATAAGTTAAAATAAATATGCGATGTATATTAATATACATTGATTGCACATTTTATAAACGCAATATAATCTCATGGAAATATTGCTAGGAAGTCAGATATATTTTTTTTGTAATTTACCCTTTTATGTCAAAAATATTACAGATTCATTAAATATTTAAATCCGAAATAATGTTTTAATGCAGAAAGGAAATAAATTATGAAAAAGAAAATGTATTTGGCTTTCTGAGAGTTTTTCATGAAATTGAATGTCACTCATTTATAAAAGACATGGCAATCAGTGTGTTTTGTAAGTTTTCTTAATTTTCTTAAGTTTCTTGATCCTTTAATTTCATTTGCTTGAATAACACGGTAATGGAGTGCAAGGATGGCAAGAATTGCAGTACGGTATCGGGAGCGACAAAAGTCGAGGGCAACAAGGTCCGGGTATTATCGGACAACATTGAGGTGGTGGAACGCAAGGCGGCCTCCGAGGTGGACTTTTGCAAGGAATTTCTTCAACTCTCGGGGGTAAAATTATGCTGCGCGACGGCGGCGATGGAATGCTTGGGCATTTGCTATAAATGTTACCATACTTTGAAACAAGAACAGTTAATAATTTCCAGGAACTAAACGTTAATTGTTTCTCTTCTACCAAACACGCGATAATTTTGATCGTTAAAATTCATTGGGATTTTCTAAATTAAATTACACGTACCAACTATCAATAGCACATATCAAGTACTTTAGCTCGTCCATATCGTTCCAGCTCGGTCCCAATTTCTTCTTACAAGGTACATCCTTTATTTTTACTGACATTTTATTTTATCTTTATTTTATCTCTATTATTTTTTAAATTCGTTTAAATTTAATTGTAATTGTATTTTATTTTTAATTACATTGTAAGCCAAATCTTTATGACAGATAATTTTGTCGATATGAAATTGCAGTTTAATACAAAAAAATGATACACTGATACTGTGATGTAGTGGACTATACATATATATAATTGTGTAAGAATTATGCAATTAATTCTACACATGTGGATATAATAAATAAATAATAAAATTTAACCATATGTTTATTCTATTGCTGTCCGATATTTCGCTATCTTTTTCTTTTCAAATTCTTTCATTATTGCTTCTTCATGAATTCTTTGGTATTTATAAAATAGGTTATTATGATTATAATATACAAGAATGTGTGGAATTCTCGCAAGCTATTTCAAAATTAAAAATTAAGAAAGTGATTTGCACATTAATTGAATGTTAGCCGACAGTCCTTAGATTCTACAAATAATTACAGCTTATAAATACAATGATGCATGGATAATTAACATTGGTACTCGGTGTATATTAATACTGAATGAAGTCATTAAATCATTATCGAAATAGTATGAGATATATGTTATAGCTGTTGTTTACATTGTTTTTTATAGGTTATATTATGAGGATTTTATATAATTTTTATATTATATAAAATATATTTTGTTCAATTTAGAAGAATAATTTTGCATAAAAGAAATTATGGCATCATCCAGTGCTTATAGGAGATTAATGTTGAAGATCGCTTCGGTTTTACCCGAGAAATTTCGCGCCGCATTTTTGCATCCTGCAGGTATGGTTTGTTCAATTAAATTTTCTCTAAGAAGGAAATTGCACCTAGATTTAGGTGTAAAAACTGTTTCGAGAAAAATCAATTTGTTAGG